TGGTTTGTAGTAAGGTGAATAAAGCAAACTGCAAGAGGTGACATTTCACTCTGCTCTGATGATGGTTTGAGTCACTGAAATTGAAACGATTTGTCAAACAGACTACACTTCGTAAGTTTTATGAGAAAGTGTTATATCTTAAGTTATCCACAATAAAATGATTAAAGACTAATATGAAGTTTAGTTTAGTTTTTTAAAGTGTGAAGGGTGTTTTCTCCTGAGAAGTATTTCAGTCATTACTACATATATACTGCCAAACATATACAGGGAAGTGAAAGCTTGAAATATTAATAAATTTTCAGGTTTTTTAAAAATCTTTTTTATTCTGAATGTATACCCAGCAGCACTGGAAATAAAAAAAAAATGCCATATGTATACATAATTAATTTCATAATAATTTTCTATAATTAATTAATAATATTCATAATAAAAAACAGTGTATAATATCTGAAAAAACAACAGTCATAAATAGATTTTGTAACGGTGTTTTGGATGAGCTCATTTAAAAATATGTAACTTAAAAAAAAATTAAATGTAATGTACAGTAAATAAAATAATAAAAAAATGAAATTAATAAAAATGTATTAATAAATTAATAATACTCATAAAAATACTAAATAATAAAAATACTGTTGCTACCTGAAACAGTGGGAATAAAATATAAATAAAAAAGATCTATTAATAAATTAATAATTTTCATAATAAATAACTACATGAAGACTACATGATTCTACTTGAAAATAAAATAGCATTCATAAAAAATATTTTGGATGAGCAGATTTAAATGAATAAATAAATAATTCATAATGTATGATGCTACCTGAAAATAAAACTGAATTTAAAAATAAATTGATTTTAATAAATTATAAATTATAAATAATTAAATACAAATTCATTTATTTATTTAAATATTTTCAACAGAGAAACAGACTCTCAGGCTGATGATACACTGGGCAACTTTGGGCAATGTTGCCGTCAACGCTAGCAACCAGGTGAGACACAGGGCCCACGACCAATCTAAAATATCCAGTTAGAAATTTGTTACCCATTCTCAATGGGAAAGTGCCTAAGCACCATTGTTCAAAAAAAGTTGCCCCGCAAAATCGCTCAAAAAGTTACCCCGTGAATCATCATTCACTCACACAACAATCCAAGGATAACATCCTCCACTGCATCTCAAACTGTCATTTTGTCCTAGAAAGGCTCATCATGTTGTCTGCGGTTTGAAAATGATGAGAGAGTTTGACGACATTAAAACAGTGGCTGAAATAACACTGATATCTGACTCGACTGCCAGCATCCATTTATCAGTCTCAACATCAAAGTCTGACTGAGGCGGGACTTAAAAACGTCCAGATAAGGGAGAGATATGAGCGATATGCCTGTTCACTCAATTGAGTTTGGCTCGGAGCTTTGATATCGAAGAGGAGAACTTTACCGTAAGTGAAAATTCCCACAGTCCCTGCTTTCTCCAAGTGTTTGTCCCCATTTCTAGGGATAAAACAGTTGCTTATAACTAAGAGTGGTTTCTGTGAAATATAATGCAGATCAATATTTTTCATGAGACCTCCACAGTCAGAACTCTAAAAGCACACCTGTCGCACCCAGTGTAAGAGACTTCTTTTAAAAATAAAAACAAAAATGTTCCTCAAACTTTTGAAAGTTAGTAGGCTATATACAGTACATTACAATATGTTTTAATTTTTTTTATTTTTTTCCCATTTTGTCTTTACATTTTTATTTCATTTTAGTTTTTACAATAATATATAAAAAAAGATGTATTACTTTGTCCCCCTCAATATTTACTGTATGATTTTCGCGATGCGGAAAATGCAGAATCCGGTCATAAAACGGAATTTACTGTATAACGCGGAGTGTCACGGAATTTGCCAACTTTTGGATGAATAAATCAAGTAGGTGAGTACACTTTAATCAAAACGTGATATGGTCTAGTGTGTGAATATTAAGCTGCAAAAATAATATTTAAATATGAATCCTGCATGTTCTGCGTGTCTCTATGTGAATGAACGGCGCAGACACACGGTTTCATTTACTACAAACATACTGAAGCGCGTGTGATGCTTGCGGTGTTTTCAGCCTCTGCCAACTCAATATATGAGTACATGAACACATTGTCATTTATTGTTGTTTATTGTCATATCATATACAAACAGAAACTCAAAGGTCTTCACAGTGACCTGTCAAAATAAAAGTTTGATTTAACTTGAAGAAACTGTGACAAAAATGTATTACTAAATGTAATGATAGAACTACTACTACTAATAAAATTATTATTAAAACATTATTTTCAAGGAATATTTACCAGAAAAATTATTTACCAGAAAAATTTAAACACAACACAGTATTTCTGAAAAAATAAATGAATAAATAAAATAATACTAAATTAGTTTTAATAAAATCGTTTATTTAGAAATGTTTTGATTATTAAAATTGAATGAAACCATTAAAATTGAATTTAAAAAACTAATGGAAAACAGAATTTGGTAAATTTTCGTTAAACTTTTAATAAATTGCTGTTAAATTATGTAAGTTTCATGATTTCAATTAATTAAACATGCTTTTTGATTAATACAATTTTATTTAACCATTAAAACAGACTGTAGAAAAATAAAAACAGAAAAAACGAAATCCAGAAAAAAATGGAATTTGGAAAAAATAAAATGGATTTCAAAGAGCCATACACAAGCGGGAGGCAACACTGTTAAATCAGCCAAGCAAACATGTTTATCAGCTGATGCAAATCATCTTTGTTCAAAAAGACCAAAGACCGGCTGATATATTGGTCCATTAAAACACAACACTAACATTTCTTCCCAAAAAGGTCTTATACAGCCAAATCATACATCTGGTTCATTCACACCAACACAGGAAAGAGTTTTAACTTTAGATTCATATCTGACTTGCTTTTCCAATTCAACAATCTTATCAAGTTTTCCATGTTAATAAGACAGATCCGGGGGAAGAACACTGAGCCAAGAGACTGTCAACACAGGGCCTTTGGTTTTCATACAGGCTAAAGGCTAAGACAATAAGGCTTTCCTCTGTCTAGAAAACCGCCTGGTTTGCTCGCCTAACAGAAAATACACAGCGATCTTCCCCGATTATGATTATTCACCCTCGATCCCTTACAGCACTTCACCCTAAAACTAATAAATGTCATCCATCTGCAGCCAGATCATTTGCAAATTACCGACAACAACTTTTGTTGTGGGTTATCGTTTAATGTTGTTGCACAAGTCCAATGTTCCTCAAGAAGCGCTCCTTAGGGACAGCCTCTCGCTTTGATAAGCAATTTGAGCTTCTTTCGCAACAATTTCCTCTCCAGTGCTCAATTCAAACTTCCCTGGCTGATGAAATCTGGGATCAACAGCAAACTCCGAACAAGACCGTTTCAGTGGCTCACAAAACGCTACGAGTGTTGAGGAGGACCTGCTGGATGTATGGGAGAGTCCCTGAGGATTTCGTTGCTCCATCTAATCTAATGCCACCCCAAGCTGGAAGGAAGCGTTGAGGTACATTGATTCACACGCTATAACACTGCAGCGTTGAGAGAGGATCTAATTAAGTCTGTTAATAACCTAGTGTTGATACAGCCGTAAATGTTCAACCGAATTGATACAGCAGCAGCCGTCTTTCTGTTTGACTTGAGCTGCAATACAACGGTGCCCACGAATGTTATTAATAAAGACCTGCTTCACAGGTGCTCTGAAGACCCGTCCTTTAAGAGAATCTATCACAATGATGTAGAGACCCACGGCTCAAAATTGATGGAAAAAATGTTCACGATGTCTTACTGAAGAGCCAAGTAGACAGATAGTACAAGCATGTCTTATTTTTGCCACTTGGCACTTGAGCAATAACTCAGCAATCTCAAGATGATGAAAAGGTTTCAAAGTTCAGGGTTTGATGTTTTACAGCACAGTATGTGTGATATTTATGGCCTTCACTTTAAAAAGTGCTTCACAGACGTGCTTAGTCTATGAATAGTAATTAGATGATGGACAAATAATATTATTACTATTTTAGTAAATAGTTTGTGAAATATTGACAAAGAATTCAGGTTTGTAGTTGAGTGATTGTTCATTTCCAAATAAAGTAAAACAAGAAAACTAATTAATATCTAATGTCTTGCTGACAAACAAAATGCTCAAATGAACCGGTGACACACATAATGTAATATCTTCATCCACTGTCTGTCTTTAGATTTCAGCAAATAAATTAATAAACACATACATGATGACTCAATCGTCAAATCAAATCAATTATTTGTTGGTCTAGTCGTTACAATTTCGCTTTGAATGCGAAGTGGTTTTGGTACTAATCTATCGTATTATTGTCAATAGGACACATTCATTCAAATTTAATAAGATGAATAAAACTGCTACTAACTATAGCACACACACTAACAACATGAACACTTTTTCTAAATTATACATCACTGCCACAAGCTATTTTAGAAGGTAGTGTATACAAACCTGGCCATGCCATATGGGGAATAAATGACAATGCTAAATAAACTCTCCATTCAAGGCTTTGAATCAAATCGGATAAACAAAAAATGCGAAAGCTTTCAAAGGTACGACCATGATTACACAATGCCCTTGAACGTAAATTTAAAAGTTTAAAAATAATCCACATAATCCAAAAATCAGACCTAGAAAAAGTAAAAAATAAATAAATAAAAACTCTTCAGGTTTTTCTACAAATCCCCAATAACAGAAACTGATACAAATCTGTAATGGGGACAATGAGGATGTCCGTCCAAGAAGTCAATGTGCATCTGAGACAGGATCTAGAAAATGTCAACAAACATGCATGACTCAGTCATGGAAATGACATGTGTCTAGTCTACTAAATAACGTGCATCGCATAATTTGACATGGCAATGAGAAATGCAGTTCTCAGAGCATCTACTATGAGCTTTATGATGACAGCAGAAGAGCCAAGATCCACAGAGAGAGTGTCCTCTCCTAACCTACCTGACATTTGCGACATGCAAGCCCTCACTTTCATTCCTGTGGGAGACAAAAAAGAGAGACACAGAGTTAGAAGTTGAAATTTTGAAAGAGGCAGTGAAAAACTTGACATTTCAAACTTCCAACAACAAAAAAAATTCCCCTTGTACTGACATAACAATAGCTGTCTTGTTGTTTGGAACCACATGGGCTACACTCTAAACCCATCTACAGTATGAATGCGTAACTACAGTGTGCCCAAGTGATGCAAGCAATAACATTCAACGTGACCGGTGTAGTCTGATTCACGAACAAATGATTCGTATGAACTCATTCTTCAAAGTGAATTAAAACATACAGTACAACCAGTGTAACCTGATTCACGAAGAAATTACTCTTATGAACTCATTCTTTTAAGTAAATTAAAAACACACAGCACAACCAGTGTAGTGTGTTTCTTGAACAAATGACTAAGTCTGCCCTTTAATGAATAAATCAAAAACACTCCCAAACTTAGCAGTTTCAATACATAGCAACTGAACTGCATATTTCAGGCATTTATATTAGCCTATATATTTTCATAACATACCAAATGTTAGATAGCTCCCTAATAATTTAGAGCAATGACTGAAACAATCTCTTTCACATAAGCAAAATGGGCATTATAACAATGATATAGGCTACACTTTTAGATTAAAGATTAAAAAAAGATATTCTATATATATGATTTTTTAAAATTGTATATAGCATAAAACACAATTGACAGATCAGCTGTAAACATTTTAAGGGCAGGCATAGATCACCATCACATTTATACAATTAAATTCTGCCTTTTTTAGGAAGTAAATAAGCATTCACCATTCTGTATATACAAGTCAAGTCAAGTCTGCTTTATTGTCAATTCTTCCACATGCCGACCCGAACTGCCTGAGGTCTTCCAGTCAGAAAGTCCAACAGCCAGTTGCACAGCGAAGTGTTGAGCCCCAGCTGGACCAGTTTGTGAATGAGCTGTTGAGGGATGATTGTGATACCCAGACTCAATAGCAGAAGGTTCTCTGTATGTGATGGAGAGCTCTAATATTCACATTTGTGACTGGCAGATTACCTCAGGCATCCCCTAGCCCAAGCCCTTGTTTAATAATTCACAAGATTCTTTGAGAAAAAGGCTTTGTCAGAAAAGCTATGGTCCTCATTGGACTAAAGGTGCCGGCAGCCTCGCTCTCAGACAGATGCCAGAAAGCTTTCTGGACAGAGAACTGGTTCTGATCCCATTACTCAACAAAATGGTCACACACAATGAAAACTGTGTCAAGAGCTGTTGAGAAGACCACTGTGTTGATGTTAGGAGTGTCAAAAAGTTGTGTAGTTGGCCCTAATAATAATTGTGAGGAATTCCAGGTGTGCTTTTTTATCTCTGTTACTTCAACAACTGCCTATTCCCGACTACGAGGATGGCAGATTTCAAAACTCAATTTGTAGCATTCTATGCAAGCTGCTAGTAGACTCATACGTCAATGAATGCGGCGAACCGCTGACATGGCAGTTAGCGCTTTAGCTCACCTGTCTGGACTGCGAGGATAAACTAGTGCCAGGTTGCAAGTAATACTTGGTCATAAAATAAACAATACACTTTATATTAATTTATAGTATGTCCCCAGATTTGTTTGTTTTGATTCTACTAATCATTAGCACTGCTAACTGCAAGTTCAGCTGAAAACCCACCGCTTGGTAAAATAATTGACTAATTAAACAGTCACATATATATTGTTGTTATCTGAAAATTGTGCATATATTCCTCATTTATAAGTACAGTGAGATAATAAAACAGCCTAAGAGGGTCATGGGTGGTTCATTATAATGGTTCAGCGAGTGTTGGTTTTGAAATAGTGCTGTAATAGTGGCAGGTTAATATAATACAGTAATAGGCAAATTAAGCAATTAGGCAAATGAGGCAATGCAAGAGGGAATGAGAAGATCCACAATGCCACAAATGCACCTATACTTTGCACTAAATTGCTGTTAGCGATGCCTAACAGGACGAAATGAACCTTATTGATCTCACATTACTGTACTTATGATTGCTTTAATTTGTTAGCGGTATGCCAAGCCATTATGTGTTATAGAAGGAAAAATAGATAATTAAATTAATAATAGAGTACAGGAGTGACCACACTCTCTCAGCAGCTGTGGTTCCAGAAGTATTACAAATGAAAACAAGAAAAGATTGTGTACATATTTTATGAGTCAAAGAACTAATGGTGTAATGATGCAATCAAATCAAATACAATGGTAAAAATTTTACATTACTGACTATATATATATGGTTTTAATAAATATAAATAAACAGATTTATAAATAAATACATAATATGTACATTACCGTTCAAAAGTTTGCGTTTGTGGTCTTTTTTTTTTTTGGTAAGAAATTAATACTTTTTTTCAACAAGGATGCATTAAAGTGACAGTAAAGAAATTTAAATTGATACAAAATATTTCTATCTCGTCCTAAAAAAAATTACATTTTCCACAAAAACTGTTTTCAACATCTACTATAAAAAATATTTATTGAGCACTAATTAGCATATTAACATGTTTGTTAACTTGTAATAATCTTTCACGATATTACTGTTTTTACTGTATCTTTGATAAAGTAAATGAATATGATTTGTTTAAAAAAAAATTAAATTCTACCAACCACAACATTTTGAACAGTAGTGTAGTTTGAGATAGGAAGACAGACTCAATTAAAACTAAATACTTTATGTTTATTGCTATGATTTTTCACACTGACTTGTGGTTCAAACAGAAGCATATAACACGGCTTAATCTCAGAGCTCATGGTAGATCAGCCTTGAAAGGTTTAGACGTTAAAAATAAATTTCTCTATGAAGAAAATGAATGGGATTTTTACTCTGGAACCCTCTTGCACTCTACAGAAACAACGACAACAAACAAACATCACCCCTATGAATGTTCAAACACAACTGATACCACTGCACTCCACTGAAACAGCTTGAAAGTCACAGTAGGAAACCTGAAACCTTTGGCAGACAGTTGGCTAGAAGACATGATCTGTTTATTCTTGACAGAAATTAATTTTAAGGGAAAAAAATCTCCATCTTTTTACTAACAGCAGAAATGCTGCATTCCATTCAATGTTTTCAGTAGACAGCTATACAGATGCAATTTCTGCTATGCCTTTGATTACAGATCTTAAGTTAGCTCTGGTTAACCACCAGCCAAAACGGGGTCAGACACTTTAAACTAGAAATAAAACAGATGATCGAAGGTATTTTCAACATTTGTAAACATGTAGAAAACTCTTCCTTAATAAATAACATTTATTAATTTTTCAGTAGCAAATGTAACTTTAAAGGAAAAAGGAAAGCCTAGGCCAACCAAGATATAGATGAGTTTGTTTCTTCATCAGAACACATTTAGAGAAAATTATCATTACATCACTTGCTTACCAATGGATCCTCTGCAGTGAATGGGTGCCGTCAGAATGAGAGTCCAAAACAGCTGATAAAAACATTACAATAATCCACAAATAATCCACACATCTCTAGTCCATCAATTAACATCTTGTGAAGCGAATAGCTGCATGTTTGTAAGAATCAAATCCATCAATAATCCATAATAACTCTTCACCATGATGGCACCTATTCACTGGTGAGCAAACGACTTAATGCTAAATTTCTCCAAATCTGTTCCAATGAAGAAATAAACTCGGTAACACTTTAGTATAGGGACCAATTCTGACTAATAATTAGTTGCTTATTAACATGCCTATTAATAACATACTGGCTGTTTAGTAGTACTTATAAAGTATATATTCTGCATGACCATAATCTACATCCCTAATCCTACCCAATACCTAAACTTCACAACTACCTTACTAACATTTAATAAGCAACAAATTTGGAGTTTATTGAGGCAAAAGTTATAGTTAATGGTTTGTTAATAGCGAGAATTGGACCTTGAAATAAAGTGTGACCTTAAACTCATCTACATTTTCGATGGCCTGAGAGTGAGTAGGTTTTCAGGCAATTTTTCATTTTTAGGTGAACTATTCCTTTAACACATTGAGCAGAATCAGCTTGATCTTTGTTTTGAATAGTCTGAATTACTTTAACCAGCAAGTGTCAAACTACAGTTCTTACAATTCAGCGCTGCAGTTCCTGCAGTTTTATTCAGCCAATTTTACCTTGAATTTGGTGCTTGGTGAATGTTAATTTTGGACCCGGCCTGACGTTCGCTTTCTGTTACACCTAATGCACCCACTGTTTTGAAGAGTTCTGAACTTTAATAAGTAAAATTAATAAGTAACACCTTCAATGTAAATGAAATGCCATCTTAATATTAAAAGCCAGAGAACAGGTCTTAGACTATGATAAACCAGAATACTCCAGATCATCATCAAAAGAAAGTCAGGAGAGTCAGATCAGTTCTCAACAAGACAGCAGTTAAAAAAAAATGAAGAAGAAAAAAAGTTCAGCGTACTGGGGGCTTTTTAAAGTGAGCAGACTTTGGACTCCCTCCACAAAGTGTGAGACAAGCACAAATCTAACATCACAGCTCCAACACTTCAAAGCCGTGGCAGTGCCTCCCCACAGGAGTGGCCATGGAACAGATGTCTGAGAAAAATGCTGCACAGCAATCGTTTTGTGGCCTCCAGTGACTCTGGTCAGTGTTTAAAAAAAACTCCAGAGTAACAGACCACATGACGAAGGACACAAAGATAGCATAGTCTGAAGGTCTTGTATGTCGTCAGCGACAAGAAAAAAAGAATTATAAGAATTATATTTCAATAATTTTTTTTTTTTGATAGATGGATCCTGAGAAACCGACAAAATTATTTGAATACAATATTTAATCCACAATATTTCAACCATCCATCCATCTTGTCTGGCCTAATGAAATCACTGGACCTCATGTATCATGATATCGAAGAGCGATGCCAGTCCAATGAAACATAACACTGCTGCTCAATCACCACAACACAAGGTTATAATGACCCTAATCGTTATCGCTCTAATGAGGTCCTATCAAAATCAATCA